AACTTAAGCTTTTATTTTGAGTGAAAGGAGCCAGCTGAGGGCTGGAGGCAAGGAATGCTATGACGTGGCGCAGTTTGGATTTTCTAGGGGCTAAGTTGGCGTCAGTGGTTAACAACTTTCAAGCTAGAGACACAAGTGAATTATTGCAACAAGAAAAAGGCAGAGGACAAGAAGAAAGGGTAGAGTGCTTCTCTTGATTCGCCAAATGTTTACTAAGTACACTGTTGGGTCTGGCTAAAACTTAAATATGAATTAGAAGATTTCTGCCCTTTTCAGAAGGAGATAAAATATGAATAGAAATAACCATAATGCAAAACAGAGAACAATGAAAGAAAGGCAATTTTCCATCTTGGGTTACAGAGAGTCGGAACTAAGGAAGTCTTGTCAAAGTATTTGGTGTTTTGCTGGACACAAAAATATAACATTCTTCACAGGCTGTGTTCTGTTTCTTACTGACTGTTAAATTAGCATTTACAGTGGTGCTTGGCACATAACCCGTGATCAGTTATTTGCTACCTACCGATAGAATAAATGTGTGTATGTACATATGCAGAGAAAAATGTCATTCAAATAAAGGGAACAAAGTAAGAAAATCATAAACAGGAAGATTTAGAGTTTGTTTCCTGGTTGGCCAAAGCAAATAGGAACAGTGGAAGATGAAATTAAAAACACAGACTAGATTAGATTGTAGAAGGCTTTGCTGACACCATGGGTGAATTATTATTTTTTGTAAGAACTGGAGAGTTTCAGAAACTTTGAATAGTATATGACTACAACTTTGTACTGGAAAAATGAATGTAACAGTGATGATTAAAGGTTGGTGAGTGGCATCTAGAGACCAATCTGAATATTATTCAAATCTAGAAAATAGGTAGTAAGGATCTCTATCAGGTTATTGTCACTTGGTTCCTTTCACTGGATTGAATAAGTCTGTGCAAGCCTAATCATAGATTTGTACGCATTTGTACTATAATTGTTTTACTTGTCCCTCTCCTTTTCTTCACTTACGCGGTAGCGTATTGAGCACTGGTGGCAGGCACTTCTGATTATCCCCAATGCCCCTTCTTCCTTTATTACAGTGATAAAACACTCTAACTAGACATAGAACTACCAGATAAAGACTACACTCCCAGCTGTTCTGGGAACTAGTTGTGGCCATAACGTAAATTTTGGCAATGGATTTAAGTAGAAGTGATAAGTGAAATTATTTGCAAAATTATTTGCAAAATAATGATAAATGTAAGCAGATAGTTTTTGAAATCCCAATTATAAGTGTTCTTTAGACATAGTTCATTTCCATAAATTTTTGTTGCTTTTTGTATGAAAATAAGTAATCATGAAAACCTTGGAATCAGAGAATAATATTTAAATTCATGTTAAAATATTTGCCTTGGGCCAGGGACAGCTCAGTGGCATAAGCACCTGCCTGGCAAGCACAAGGTCCTGAGTTTGGTTCCCAGTACCAAAATAATAATAATAATAATAATAATAGTAATAATAATAATAAAAATAATAGTAATAATAATATTTGCCTATACAGAATTAAAGGCGATACATAACTCTAAGATTTCATTCTTCATTTTCCCTCTGATAGACCCTTGAGGCAACTCCTAAGCCCCCATACTCGTCTTACTAGGGAAAGGGCTAAGAAAGCTATATAGTTCCATGAGAGCATAATCTCCAACATCTACCTCAGTCATGGGGAGAGAAAAATCAGTATCCTGCAAGAATGACACAAGATAGTTCAGTGGCACAAGTGCCTACCTGGCAAGTGCAAGGTCCTGAGTTCAACTCATGGTACAAAAAAAAAAAGAATGAGGCAAGAGCAAGCAGCTTCGTTATGAGGGTATATCCCAGAAGGAATATTCTTTCTATCAGAGGGAAAATGAAGGATGAAATCTTCAAGTTATGTATCACCTTTAATTCCGTATAGGCAAATATTATTATTACTATTATTATTATTACTATTATTATTATTATTATTTTGGTACTGGGAATCAAACTCAGGACCTTGTGCTTGCCAGGAAGATACTTATGCCACTGAGCTATATCCTTGGCCCAAGGCAAATATTTTAACATGAATTTAAATATTATTCTCTGATTCCAAGGTTTTCATGATTACTTATTTCCATACAAAAGGCAACAAAAATTTTATGGAAATGAACTATGTCTAAAGAACACTTATAATTGGGATTTCAAAAACTATCTGCTTACATTTATCATTATTTTGCAAATAATTTTGTGTTCTTATATATATTATGATTGCTGAAATAAGGATTTCTGCTTTCACAGTCTAGTTGACCAAATCTGTTGATAATCACATTTGTTTATTTGTATCACTATAGTATTCTCAAAGAAATATCTTGAGTTTGTATATATCTTAGGGTATAATTCTACATGTTCTGAGTCAATAGCTTTGGAATGATAGCTTTTCTAATTAGCTAGGTTTTGAAAGAGGGAAGTAAAGGTGAGCCCTAACCCTGGAAAAAATGTTTGTGAGAGTTGGAACATGGAGTTGCAATGAAAAAAAAAAAAAAAGCTAGAAATTGATATTATATATTCTGTATAGAAATATACCATCAGAAAGACAGGGATAGTTTTACTTTATGTAATGATGAAAGTCTACACTGCTGAAAAAGACCAGTGAAATGTAAATATTACACATGAAAAATCAGCTTTTTGTTTCCTATACCACTTCAGTTACTTTTGTATAAATAATATTGTCTTTCATTAAGGCTTTCTTATTGTTGTAGCAGGTTTACTCTGCTGTGCTAAGGACAGGGACTTTGTGTTGCTGAGCTGAAATCCCTAGAACTATCTTTAGCAAGTAATAGGTACAAAGATACAATAAAAGAGTTTCTGACAAAATGGATGAATAATGTTTAGATCTAAGAATTATTATTATTGCTTAGTGAAGTGAAAAAGTAACTTATCTTGTTTTGAAGACTTCAGTGGAGAGACAAGCACTGCCATTGAAAGATTTTGCATTAAAATAGGGAAAGTAAATTGCTTTAAATAAAATGTTTATAAAAGCTTGCTTCCTAATCAATATTTTGAGCCTTATCAACATATTTATTATGTATGGCAGAATATTCAAATACTTGATTTTGAAGAGCTATCACTTCAAGTAGGCAATGGAAACATGATGTAAGAATGTAGAACTATCAAGTTGGGGGAGAAAAGAGAAAAATATAACTTTTTGCATATTTGTGATGTTAAAATACAACTTTGAAACAACTACCCAAATTATAATCATAAATATTGTATAGATAAAAAGTTGAGTTGATTAGACTAAATAATTATGTTATTCTCTATTGCTGTTAAATGACATGTTTTGATTCCTAGAACTTATTCATATGAAATTTCATGAGAAAGGCTGCGGTTACCATAAGCAGGAATTTTTAGTCTACTTTTAAGTATTTTTACTGTAAATCAACAACACAGGCAAAATATATGCAGCAAATTCTGAACTAGGTAATCTTCATTCACAGATTTCTTAAAGAATATGGTTTAGGAAGAGAGTATTATTAGATTTGAAACATACAAAAAATAAATAATACTGAACTGGAAAAGAACACTATTCATTGAACATAATAAATTGCCATGTAATAAGTCAAATTACCCTGGGGTGTAAATTACACAAATTTGAAAGTTGCATTTGTTATTTCATGTCTCATTCCCAGACAGGTGGTAATTCAGTAGTAACAACTGATTTGGTGTACCAAATTCAAAGCTATTTAACAACTAGGAAGGTTTAAAAAAATTATTATGCATGTAACCATTTGTTGTGCAATTTAAATTTTTTTCTCCTAATGGCATTGAGAATACTTTATTTTTATCATCTAAATAATGACCTATGAATTGTCTTAATAGAGATATGAGAGCTAAAGATTAGATGGTTTGAAAGGTATTTTAAAGGCCCATCAGCAAACAGGCATCACATAAAGTTTCCTTCAGTACACTAACAGGCTGATAACCTTTTATAAGAATGTTGTTAGGGAAATTCTAAGACATTCTAAAATATGCTAGTAGAATAAACTTACGATTGTGGATTATTTGATGAGTTTGTGGTCCTTATTTCTTTTTATTAGCTAACGTTAATTTTGCAAGAGGTTTCCAAGAACTAACCCTCCTTCTATAAAGCCTCTTGCTGAGTGGGGATAGTATGGGCATCAATAAGGAAAGAGGATCTTTTTTTCTTCATGAAAATACCTTAAGAGTAACCTAGCGAAGTCTAGAAACCATGGGTTACCAGGAGGTGGTTGTAAATGGGTAGGCTTTCTAATTTAGCCTGATCACACTTCTGTTAGTGGCCAAGAGTCAGGGCCACTTTTGGCAAATACTACTCAGGACATGGGCTTGGAATCCATCCTAGAGCTGGCCAACTTTACAATTTCGTGTCCCCTGATTTGGAGCGAGTGCTTTGAATTGAAGATCACTTACGACTGAATTTTTCATCATAGCTTTGACTGTGAAGCCCTCAGAAACCAAGGAGTGAGGCTGGTGCACCGGGAGCGGCTGTTGTGACAGCAGTTTGGTCCTCTTCGGCATCTTGTCTTGGCATTTGTTTAAGCCGTGGGTCTCTTTTTCTGCCACCATCTTCCTAGATAATGTCTTGTTCTCATAAAGTGTAGTAAAAGAATTCAGTGGGCTTTACGGATGTGAGCAGGAGGTCGGGAAAAAAATGTAAAAAGGCGCCTTACTGGTAGAAATTCAATCCCTCCTAGTGCCCAGGTTGATCCAGATGTTTGGCAGCTCCTAGGTGAAGGGTTTAGGGAGGGGAGGGGCGAGAGGAGGGCCGGACCACCTCCAGTGCTGCCACACTCCCGAAGGTAAACCTCCCGGTTGCTAAGCGACTCGTCAACACTGCAGGCCAGTAGCCCCGCCCCCGAGACGTACGTTTCCTCGACTTTAAGCCGGAAAGGGCGGCTTGCTGTCAGCGGCTGGAGAAGAAACTACGGACCAAAACTACGACTCCCAGCAGACCACTGGGTGCGAACCGTTTGCGCGTGCGCAATACGTCTCAGGGCGTGAGGGCGGGGAGGCCTGGATGATTTAACCCGCGAGAACCGCTGGTGGGAAGCACTTGCGGGCGCGGAGGAACGCGTAGGCCCCTTGTTGCCCAGCAGCCGCCACTTTCCCAGTGACCATGATAGGTACGTGCGTGCCTGCCAGGCAGAGTTTCTGCGCCGCCCCGGGCCCAGGTGTGGCAGCGCACTGGGACTTGGAGTGCGGCCGGTGCCACCTGTCAGTGACCGGGCGAAGTGTCCGCGCTGCTCCCCGCCGCCCCCGCCGTCCCCAGCGCCGCCCGCTCCCTCGCTCCCTCCGTGGGGCTCCGGGAGCCACGTGTGCTGTCAGTCCTCTCCCTGGACTGTGCGTGACAGGGCTCCCGCTGAAGACAGACTTCCCCGGGGCGCTGCGTGCCCCACTGCGTCCCCGCCTCGCGCGAGGCCGGCCCGGCTCCCGTGCCACCACGCGTTGCGCCGTCAGTCAGAGCCGCCGCGGCGCCGCTGGGGCCGTTTCCCTGCGGTCACCTGCCCGAGCCCTGCAGGGCGCCTGCGCAGCTGCGTCCGTGGCGGACTGTCCGCCTCGTGTGCGCAGGGCTCTGCACAAACTGTGGACGCACGGGGCGCTAGTGGGGACACTGATGGTAGGGGCGGGTCAAAGAAACTTCTCCAGACTTGTAATTTCTTGCTCTTTCGGATACTTTTAAATCCCTCAGTGAAGATCTGAGATAAAAAGATTAAGAACGAGTAATAGCAAAGACTGAATTTCTTGCGTTTTGTACCTACGTGCAATTTTGTGACTAGAGCCTTGTAAGTGGCTGTTCGAGTTGCTATTAAAACCGTGAAGCCTAAGATTAGAGAGGTCCTCTTTTAGGGTTGGTACCAAAAGTTGTTTTAGGGGTTATCCTTAAATTTATTTATTTATTTTGTTTTCTGGTTTCTTTCTTTCTTTCTTTTCTTTTCTTTGTGTGTGTGTGTGTGTGTGTGTGTGTCTTTTTGAGACAGGGTTTCCCTGTGCAGTTCAGGCTGGCCTTGAGTTCACTCTGTAGCCCAGGCTGGTCTGGAACTCTAAGGATCCTCCTGCCTCAGCCTCCCGAGTGCTTGGATTACAGGCGTGCACCAGCACGCCCGGCTCTCCTCAAATTTAGAAGGAATGAATAGTATATTTAGAAAACATTGCGGAGACTTGCTCCAGTTTATATTTGGAAGGTTTGGTGAACTTGTTTGGGGATTCTTCCTGGTATCACTTATGAAACACTTGATTGCAACAAGCACATTTGAAGTCAGATGTGGTCTATCCAGATGAAAGATGAGGGGTGGATTTAGAAGGTACATGCTGTATGTCCTGAAAACACTTAAATCTGTTTTATTTATGAAAGTAATGTTAAAAAAATTCTTCCCATCCCAGTCATGCCAGTTACCTAACATTGTCTTTGCAACAATGATAAAAGTTGCTAAGAACGTTGCCTAGCTTTTCTTACCTTTCTGATTTTTGGTGAATGACTTGAAAGTTACCTAATTAAGAAAAAAATATAGATTTTAATGAATCTTATCGAACCTTTTAGGTGTCACTTGTATAAGATACACTTGTAAACAAATCTGGACTGAGTCTTTGAACCAAATAGAGATCTTTCAAAGTTTCTAATGTATTATATAGGAAAGTAATAGTTTGTATGTTACTTTGATGACTTTTTAAAATTCAATTTAATCAAGTACAGAGATACTTTTAAGAAAAACAAATTTATTATAAAGCTATATAAAGATATGAACTGAAGATATAGACATCATTTATTTATAAATATCTAATAAATATGCTAATAACATTATTACAATGAAATGAATTTAGATGATTAGTTTTATTTGGAATTCTGCTTTCGAGAAGGAAGAAGTATGATATTTGGATTGTGATGAGACAAATCAATTACTGGCAATAGCAAGCATGTAGTAAAATGAGTTTTAAAAATTATTCTTTCTCTTATTCAAGTTATTGTCTTACATACTACACAATATTACAATATAAATAATAAAATCCATACTTCCCCAAGAACAGTACTTTCCATATAAAAACCCTGTGAACAATGTATGGTAGGTTATCTCATTCATCTACTGTAATTTCCTTGCCTGATTCTGTTGTGGGCCGCATGTCCATACAAATCCGAATTCCAGATTTGGACCTTGGTATTTTGAACAGTGCTCAAGGTAAGTGAAAGTGAAAACAGTTGAAAGGGTGCCCTAGAGTAATGGGTTTTGTTTTTTTGTGACAACATTTTGAAGCCATAAAAGAAAGACATTATAGTTTTACCCAGTGATTAGTTGGAAAGCAAGTAATTTCCACCTAATTAGTTGGAAATAGACTACGCAGGCATGTTTATGTAGAGATTGTTTTTCTGCTATGGATGGGAAGCGGTGCTATGGAGAATCGGGCATACCCATACTCTTCCTAATTGCTGCACCTTCCTTAATGCAAATTGTACTTTTCTACTTCATCTAAATTCTAGCTTTCTTTTGAACAAAACAAAAAAGATCAGTTTCCTGGTAGAATAAGAGTAAAGGGAAGCCATTGTTATCCCACTATCAATAAAATTGCCTTCCACTTACTTTCCTAGAACTGAGGATTCCCTCTTGGCGTTGAGACTATTTCAAAAGTACTTCCATTTCCCACTTGGATTATGATTGATATATTAAATGCCCTGACCCAGACAGATACCAAAACATAATTTAAGTCAATGAAAAATTGTGCCTTTATGAGAGGTTAGAGGAGCTTAAATTCAACTTAGAAAAATGTAATTTTGGTACCTTTATTAAAAGTATATTTCACTTTTTTAAGAAAGGTGATGAAACGCTTGTATTTAAAGTTTAAAATTAAATTTAGTGATAATATTTTTGGAATGTTCTACATTCCCTATAGATTTAGGCATTTAAGTAGTATCAACAATAAAGTAGCACATGGATATGCATACAATAATGTCATCAGTAATGAAATTCAAATTCAGTGTCATACTTTAAAAGGTTTTTGATTGAGTTAAAAACAATAATTAGAACATATTGTGTACCTTGTTTACCTTTGTATTTTTAGAGAACTTATATATTTCCATGTACATATCCATGATACAGTAATTTCATAATTTCTGCGTAGTCTTCTGTTTTATAGGACATTCCCCAATAAATGAGCATTCAGCGGGCTTAATGCTTTTCACTGTACAGGCTGCACAGTTGTTGTGAGAAGCCTTGCACTTCCTGACAGGGTTGATGAGAGTCCATTTTCCCCTGGTCAGCAAATGTTTTCATTATTGCTTTCTTGCTAGATGAACAGGAGTATATTTTAATTTTAAAATGGGTTTATGATGATAAAAACTTCTTGACTCTCCTTTTATTATATACTTTTATTATACTTTAGGTTCAGAAATCATTTCCAAGGGTTGAATGCCTACTGGTACTCTCGGTTCCAGGAATATAAGAGTGAGGAAAACAAGTGCCTTCCTGAATGTACAGACTCATTTTACTGTTGGCCCACCAATCTATATATATGTGAATTTAAGGTTGATACATGTTTAAAGCTTGTATTCAATACATTTTAAAATTTTTGATTTTATATTTCTAGTTGAACATACTGTGCGTGGCTACTGGCCCTGACATTTTGATAACTTTAGTTGAAAGCAACTCTTAAGTACTCGAAAGCTTCTGTTTATTATGAGGTTCAGTTGTGTCACAAAATAGATTCTACTAAACTTTTGCATAGAGGATTTCATGTAGTAGTTATATCCAGTTCTTTTTTGGATCCAAAGGTTCTGAAATGACCTTACACCTTTTACAGTGTTGGCCCTATTTCTGAGGATTTTATTGAAACCTGTATTTTTGTTTGAAACTGAATCGTTTCTTTGCTTGAAAATGATACAGTGAAGGTACTTTGTATTAAGATATGCAAATCCATTCCTACCTCCAAAGCTTCTTTGAAAAATACACAAAAAAGAAAGAAAAAGTTATCCTTCCTTCCAAATGTTTCATATTCATGAAAAGTTTCAATGCAAAATACTTTATTCTGCTAGCTTTCAGTTCTTTGATCAATGAAAATTGTTTCTTACCTGCTGTTTCTTTAGCCTTTTAATTGCAGCCCAGTGCTTATTCAATGTTTCTGTTTTAATTTGCATTTAATGAGCTTACTTTAAATGTTTCTTTGTAGTAAACTGAATGGTTTCTCTCTTAAGTCTTGTAGTACTGAAGACGGAGACTTACTTTGACAGTTGGCTGATTTATGTTGCAACTCATCCCTAAACCTTACTTACTTCATCCTGTATAAGGGAATTTTGGTTAACAGGGATTGTATTAATAGGACTATTTCCCTTAGTATTGTGTTCCCTAATTATCTGGGACTTCTATCAAAGTAATGCACGTATCTGTTTTTCATTAAATAGAAAGCTTTCTCCTTGGCATAATGAGTATTTCAATTCACAACAATAATTCCTTTGTCAGTTCTTTATAGGTGATGCTGGGCAGGGGTGAAAAGTGTATGTGCTTATATTACCTATAGGTAAGGGGCACAGAACAGAGCAGGCATCAGGATGGTTCCTCTTTGAGGCACTCTCTAGACAGGGAGTTGCCTGCATGCAAAGTACTTTTATTTATTTATTTATTTATTATTTGCTTATTTATTTTCTTTTCGGTCTTTTTGAGACAGGCTGGTCTCGAACCCTATGCAGTTCAGGCTGGCCTTGAGCTCACTTTGTAGCCCAGGCTGGTCTCGAACTCGCAAGGATCCTCCTGCCTCAGCCTCCGAATGCTGGGATTACAGATGTGCGCCACCATGCCTGGCGCAAAGTACTTTTAGACCAGACTCTGTATTTTACTTTCAGAAGAATCCAGTCTGAATTATATTTTTTCTTCCCCTTGAGCCAGAGTTTTGGAGACTGATGAACTCTGGGCCACTAGAACCTGGTGCAACAGTTGGGTTTACTGCTTAGAGAATTAAAGATTTAAAGATAACATCACATGCTCTAGGTCTAACCTTGGTCTTGGCTTCCAGTCTCTTGGGAGTTCCTTTTCATTCTCTAATGAGGTAGACTTAAATATAGGTGAAGCAGCCTTTGAGCTACTGTTTACCTGGGCTGGTGACCACAGACACATGTAGACTGCACAGACCAGTTGGCATTCAC